CTTCATGAGGCTCTCCAGGAAGGCCCGAAGATGTCCAAAATCATTGATTTCCATTTGGTTTTTGAAGGATTTCGGCTTTTGCGCTTCTTCGGCCTTCCGACGGCCCAAGACTGCTCAAGAGGCCATCAAGATCGCCCAAGAGGCTTCCAATATGGCCCCAGGACGGCCCAATAGGTCCCCAAGACGGTCCCAAGAGGGCCCAAAGACGGCCCAAGAGGCCTCCAAGACGCCCAAGATAGCCTCCAAGACGGCCAAGATTGCCCCAACAGAGCCCAAGATGGCTCCCAGATTTCTCCAAGACGGCCCAAGATGCACACAAGACTGCCCAAGATGGCCTCAAGATGGCTCAAGACCGCCCGACACGCCCCCAAGAGGCCGTCAAACCGTGCCAAGAGAGCCCCAAGAGGCCCCCAAAGAGAGCCCCAAGAGGTCAAATTCATTGTTTTTATATGGTGTTTGAACGATTTGGGGGTTTGCTCCTTTTCGGCTTTCCGACGGCTCAAGACGGCTCAAGAGGCCATCAATATCGCCCCAAGGGCGCCCAAGAAGCCTCCAAGACTGCCCCAGGACGGCCCAAGAGGCCCCCAAGACGGCCCGAAGCGGGCCCAAAGACTGCCCAAGAGGCCTCTAAGACGCCCAAGATGGCTTCCAAGACGGCCAAGATAGCCCCAAGAGGGCCCAATATGGCCCCGAGGTGTCTCCAAGACGGCCCAAGATGCACACAAAACTGCCAAATATGGCCTCAAGATGGCCCAAGACCGCCCAAGACGCCCCCAAGAGGCCTCCAAGACAGCCCAAGAGAGCCTCCAAGAGCACCTCCAGGAAGGCCCACAGATGCCAAATTCATTGTTTTTCCTTAGGTTTTTGAAGGATTTGGGGCGGGTTGCGGCCTTTTCGGCTTTCGACGGCCTCAAGGACGGCTCATGCCAGATGTGAGGCCATCAATCTCGCCCAAGGCGCCCAAGAAGCCTCCAAGACCGTCACCAGGGACGGCCCAACGAGGGCCCCAAAGACGGCACGACAGCGCGGCCACGAAAAGCATGCAAAGAGCGCTCTAAGACGCCAAGATCGGCTCCAAGACGGCCAAGATAGCCCCAAGAGGGCCCAAAGATGGCCCCGAGGTGTCTCCAAGACGGCCCAAGATGCACACAAAACTGCCAAATATGGCCTCAAGATGGCCCAAGACCGCCCAAGACGCCCCCAAGAGGCCTCCAAGACAGCCCAAGAGAGCCTCCAAGAGCACCTCCAGGAAGGCCCACAGATGCCAAATTCATTGTTTTTCCTTAGGTTTTTGAAGGATTTGGGGGTTGGCTCCTTTTCGGCTTTCCGACGGCTCAAGACGGCCCAAGAAGCCCTCAAGATCGCCCCAAGGGCGCCCAAGAAGCCTCCAAGACTGCCCCAGGACGGCCCAAGAGGCCCCCAAGACGGCCCGAAGCGGGCCCAAAGACTGCCCAAGAGGCTCCAAGTCGTGCCAGAGAGGCCCTAAAGGTATCTTCCGCCGGCGTCGGAGAAGCCAGAAGCCTTTTGGCGGTTCACTGAAATCGCGATTTCGGTGTTTTTGTTTCCCAGGTACAGACACACCGAAATCGCGATTTGGGTGTTTCTCTCTGTCCAGGAAGAGAATCACCCAAATCTCGATTTCGGTGATTCCATCTACAAACAAAGAAACACCGAAATCGAGATTTCGGTTTCGTTGAATCGTGGATTAGGGGTGTTTCGACGCGGGGGGGGGGGGGGGGGGGGGGGGGCGAACGCGGAATTAAAGGTTCTGGCAGAGGCGGCGTGGCGGGCCCCCACGCTGGGGCGCTGGGACGCGGGGGGGGTGGGGGGGGAGCGACGCTGAATAAATCGTGGTCGCGAGAGCTCTAGACATCCTTTTCAAGAGAATAAAAGGATAGGGGGTGGAGGGGGCGCGCTGGCTGATGGTTGGGGGATGCGGAAGGGGCGCTCGGGAGGGAGGGCGGGGCGGTGCCGTGCCGAAGCAAAGCGGCCAGGGCGGAGGGGGCGCTCTGGCTGATGAGTGGGGGGGCGCGCAGGATGGAGGGGGGGGGCGGTGCCGTGCCAAAATAAAGGTTTCGGGGCGGAGGGAGCGCGCTGGCTGGTCCGTGGGTGATGCCGATACGGCGGTCGGGATGGGCGGGCCGGGTGCCGTGCCGAAACTAGAAAGTCGAGGCGGAAGGGCGCGCGCTTGGCTGATAAAATGGGGTGATACGGATGTGGGGCGTGCGGGATAGCGGGGGGGGCGGTGCCGTGCCGATCATGAACGGGCAGGGGCGAGGGGAGCGCGTTGGCTGGTGGGTGGGGGGATGCGGACGGGGCGAGGGCTGGAGGGGGCGCGCTGGCTGGTGGGTGGGGGGGATGCGGAGGGCTTCTAGTAAGGGGTCGGAGCGGGCCGGCGCCGTGCCGAAATCAAGAGGTCGGAGCGGAGGGGGTGCGCTGGCTGGTGTGTAGGGCAGAATGGGAGGGGTCGGTGCTGTGCCGAAATAAAGAAGTCGGGGCGGAGGGGGCGTTTTGGCTGGTGGGTCGGGGGGGGCGGAAAGGGGGCGCGCGGGATGGGAGGGGGGTGGTGCCGTACCGAAGTAAAGAAGTCGGGGCGGAGGGGGCGCGCTGGCTCGTGGATGGGGTGATGGAGGTGGCGCGCGGGAGGGGGGAGGCGGTGCCGTGCCGAAATAAAGGGTCGTGGCGGAGGGGCGCGCTGCTGGTGGGCGGAGTGAAGCAAACGGGGCGTTCGGGATGGGGGGCGGTGTCGTGTGAAAAGGTCGGGACGGAAGGGCGGTTGGCTGGTGGGCGGGGTGACATGGCGAAGAGGCGCGCGGGATGGGGGGGCGGTTGCCGTGCCGAAAATAAAGCGGCCGGGGCGGAGGGTTGTGAGGGGCGAATTGGTTGGTGGATGGGGGGATGCGGAGGGGGCGCGCGGGATGGGGGGGCCGGTGCCGTGCCGAAATATATGGGTCGGGGCGGAGGGGGCGCGGTGGCTGGTGAGTGGGGTGATGCAGACGGGGCGCTCGGGATGGGGGGTGCACTGCCGTGCCGAAGTAAAGAAGTCGGGGCGGAGGGGGCGCACTGGCTGGCGGGTGGGGGCTGCGGAAGAGGCGCGCGGGATGGAGGAGGAGGGGGGCGGTGCCGTTTCGAAATAAAAAGGTCGAAAGGTCGTGGCGGAGGGGGCGCGCTGGCTGGGTGGGCGGGTTGATGCGGAGGTGGCGCGGAATGGGGGGGGGCGGTGGCGTGCCCAAATAAGATGGTCGGAGCTCTAGACACCCTGTACAAGAGATTAAGGGAGGAAGAGGAGGAGCAGGCGCATGGGAGGAGTGGATGGGGAAGGCGAGAGGGAGGCATTGGCAGTTTACGTGTGAAGGAGGAAGAGGAGGAGCAGGCGCATGGGAGGAGTGGATGGGGAAGGCGAGAGGGAGGCATTGGCAGTTTACGCGTGCGGGCCCCGTAGGAAGCGCTGGTAAGGAGCGTGCCGTACACTTCGGAGACGCCGTTCCCGTCCGCCTTGACGGTGGCAGGTTACCAGCGGTTCGAGCTGCGGTTCAAGACAGAGTCGTCATGGAGCCATATCCGAGTGGAGTACACTTGCTCTGCCACGGACCCCAACGAACTCTCTGCGACCAGGTCTGGGGCAGTAAAACGAGTGGCCCATGCATGCCCTCTGGCTCTGTCCCTCTGCTCCCCGTTCCCCTATTCTCTTACATCGCTATTTCTCATCCCGCCTCTGTATCCTCATCCTCTCCGCCTCGTCCTCCGTCTCTTTTTCATGGAAGAGAGGGGTTCGCGGGGGGATGAAAGGGGGGAGAAAAGGAGCGAGGAGCAGGGAGGGAGGTGGCGGAGGAAGAACAGAAGGGCTGGGGCGGGAGGGAAGAAGAGGGACGATGGGGGGGAAAGGAGCGAGGAGGGGGAGCCGAGGGGGGAGGAGGGGTAGGAGGAGGAGGAGGAGGAGGAGGAGGAGCAGGAGGAGCAGGAGGGAAGAAGAGGAGGAGGAGGAAGGAGGGGAGAGAGGAGGAGGGAGGAGGAGGAGGAGGAGGAGAGGAGGAGGAGGAGGAGGAGGATGAGGAGGAGAAGGGAGGGGGGAGAGAGGAGGAGGAGGAGGAGGAGGAGGAGAAGGAGGAGGAGGAGGAGAGGAGGAGGAGGAAGAGGAGAAGGAGGAGGAGGAGGAGGAGGAGAAGGAGGAGAAGGAGGAGGAGGAGGAGGGAGGAGGACGAGGAGGAGCAAGAGGACACGCACGCCGCTGCTGAGTGTGATTGCTTCAACCGCCGAGCCACCTACTCAGCGATGCACAGCAGCACATCCTCGGGGCCAGCATGACAGGTCAGTTCTGCAGACGCACGACAACGTCACAATATGCCACACGAGCCTAGTTTAGGCTCGGAGGCCAGCTCGTGCAAGATCTCACGATCCCGCACTCGGAGGTACTGGATGGAATTGTCCGTGAGGTCTCATCCCACCTATTGCATCTGGCAGACGAATCCTTGCTGCGCGTGTCACTCCAAACCGTCGCTGGCGCTGGTCACGATCGACGTGATGCCCTCCGAGTCCTGGGAGACGTTGCCGTCCAAGACCTGCTGCTTGTGGGACTCCACATTGGCACTCGTGAAGGCCACCGGCGACACATTGCCCACCATGTCATGGGAGGCGCTGCCGTTCAGGTCCGAAGGGATTTGTTCGGAGTCCTGGGAGCCATGGTGCACTCCACATTGTTACTCTCCAAATATAGGGATGCGTTGCTGTCCGGGAGCTGCTGCTTGCGGTATTTCACGCTGTCGTCTGGAAGGCCACCAACGGAATTGCCCACCATGTCCTGGGAGGAGCTGCCGTTCAGGTCCGACGTGACGCTATCCGAATCCTCACCGTCGCGTGGCGCTCCGCTTGATTACTCTCCAAATCTTGGGAGGCGCTGCTGGCCGAGAGCTGCTGCTTGAGGTACTCCACCCTGTCGCTCTTGGAGGCCACCAATGGCATTATCTACCATGTTCTGGGAGGCGCTGTTCAAGGCCTAGTGCCGTGACGACAATGCTACCCACGTCGTCGGCTTGGTACTCGGACACCTCCGTAACCTTCCTGTCGACACACCGAGCGGTGCCCTCCGTGAGCTGCGAGGCGTTGCCGTTGAGGTTTTGCTGCTTGTGGGACTCCACAGAGTCGCTGGCCGCATTGGCGGAATGCCCAGAGGCCCTCGCCACGCCGAGTGCCATTACGACGCCGTTGTCAATGTTGGATTGGTTTTCGAATGCCTCCGTAACCTGCAGCTCCTGGTACTCCACAAACTTACGGGGCTCCACATAGGCTCTGGCCACAACCGACGCAGTGCCCACCATGCCTTGTGAGGCGTTGCCGTTCAAGGTCTTGGCCTGTTGCGTGTGGTACTCCAGATTGGCGCTCTGGAAGGCCACAGACGACGCGTTACCCACGGTGTCTTGGGAGGCACTTCCGTTGAAGTGGCCATGTTCACGAACGGCGCTGGGCCCTCCGCGATCTGGGAGGCATTGCCGTTGAGTTACTGCTGCTTGGGGTACTTCACCATGTCGCTGGCCACGACCGATTCAGTGCCCACCATGTCCTCGGAGGCCTTGCCGTTCAGCTGATTGTGGTAATCCGCAAAATGGAATGCCACGTACAAGGCGTTGCCCACCAAGACCTGGGGAGCGCTGCTGCTTTAAGTCATTGGCCTTGTGTTGCTGCTTGTGGTGCTCGACCATGTCGCTGGCCAAGACCGACGGGGTGCCCATCTTGTCATGGGAGGCGCTTCCGGTGAGTCCTTGGCCGTGTAGTTCAAGGAGCTAGCCGACACCATCTCGTCAAATGTTGATCGCTTGTGGTGTTCCACAGCATCGCTGGCCACGGCCAACTCGTTGCCCACCATGTCCTGGGAGGCGTTGCCGTTCTGCTGCTTGTGGTACTCCACCGCGTCGCTGCCGTCTCCGATGGGGAAACATTCAGGGGTGTTGATAAGCACCACGCTACGCTGGCATTGTTGGTTCAGTTCTTGCTGGTGGTGCCGAAGGACACCTGCTCCGAGCCCGCCTTGCGCTCGCAGTTCTTCTAGTCGCAGCCCTTGTCGAGTCTGCTACCCAGCAGGATCTTTGCGGCCGTGAGCGCGTGCATGTCGATGCGCAGCTCCTTGAAGAAGATGCGCGCGACGACCAGCGGCATCGGACATGCCGCAGCCGAAGACATAGCGTTCTTGATCGGAATCTTCTGCAGTACCAGGTTGCCAGCCGCGCCATCGCGCCCAGCGGCCACAATCGCGAGGAGAAGGATCAGGACCAGTGCAAACCCAAGACTCATCAACGATGTTGAAATAAACCTTCCCCCCAAGCTCCATCTTCATTCGCCCCTACAAGGACTGAGGGAAGTGCCCCGTTGGGAGACAACCAAGATGGTGAAGCGTGCCAAAACACCACACTCGGGACTCCAACGCCACGAATCAATGTGATTGTTGCGTCTGGACGATCCTGAATCGTGCCAGAACACCATTCCTTGGACTTCAACACAGCGAATCAACGTAACTGTTGCACCCTGACAATCCTGAACCGCTCCGGAACACCATTTCTGGTACGTTAACCATGGTTAACGTACCAGAAAGGGGAACCCATGGTTAACCATGGTTAACGTACGTTAACCCATGGTTAACCATGGTTAACCAGGGGTTTCACGGGTTCCCCTGCAGGGGAACCCGTGAAACCCCTGCACATGCTTAAGACGAGTGTGCGCGGCGCTACGGCGAGAACCACATTTTGAAAAGGAACCCCCTCAACCCGTGAGACCCCTGCAAAAGGTTAGGAAGAATGCACGCGGCGCTAAGGCGAGACACATCTTGGAAACGGGCCGCCCTCAGTTCGCGAAACTGTTGCAATGGTTTAAAACGAATGTGCGCGGCGCTGAGGCAAGAGCCACATGTTGGAAACGGCCCGCCCTCCAAATGTGGAATTGTTGCCAATTCTTAAATTTCAGGATCAGGAGTGTTAAGGTGTTCAGGAAAAACGCTCGAGGTGAGACAAGGAGGAGTTATTTACAAGGAAAAGAGATGGAGGAGAAAAAGGACGAAGGGGAAGAGGAGGAGGAGGCGGAGCAGCAACAGGGGAAAGAGGAGGAGGAGGAGGAGGGGGCGATGATGAATTTGATGATGATGATGATGATGATGATGATGATGATGATGATGATGATGATGACGATGATGATGATGATGATGATGATGATGATGATGATGATGATGATGATGATGATGATACTAGTGCGCGCACGTCTTGCGTCAGCCGATGTTGCTCTCTGCAGCGTGTGTTGCTCAAAGGGGGGGCTCCCTGGATGCATATGCAGGTAGACCCTCTGCTGCTGTACACACTCACACGTGACTCTCTGTCGGGAGTGTACCATCTCTTTTCTAGACCACAGGTGGAAGAAGCGTGTCCGCCTTGTGTTTGCCAGTGCGTCGTCTCGGGCGAGGCGAGTGGGGAGTGCCCCGCTCTCGAGCGCCTGGTCTCCCAGCATCTGGCAGGCCCGACGACCAGCACGGCGCGCTACGAGTTCAACTTCGTGCTGCACGCCGGCTTCGTCGTATTAACCTTCGTGGTGGGAGCTCTCCTTGGTCGGGGCTGCTCTTTTCGGAGTTCCAGGCGGGTGGTCAGCTTGACCGATGGCGCAGCTGGTGGCAGCAGCAGGGCAGGCAGGAGCGGCGGGGCCGGCGGTGGTGTCATCGTCGTTGGCCCCGGGGCGTAAGGTGCTGGTGCGCAACGATGATGACCTCTGGCACGTTCGCATCCTGCTCGCGAGAGTTGAGGACACAAGGTGGATCATATATACACCCGACAGTGACCTGTATGAGGAGGACTACGGCCCCAACAACGGCGATATCACAGGTGTGCGGGCTTTCAAGGCGGACGGCAGCATCCCAGCGAGCCTGCAGGGTGCCAACATCTACAACTTCAGAGCTGGTGCTGAACCTGATCAGGCCGCGCTGCGCGGGCTGATGGAGGAAGCGCAGGATCTGGTGGCGCTGGCAGGCCGCGGAGTGGCTCCGCCGGAAGCCGAACTTGAGGTCTGGCTGTTCGCGGAGTCGAACGCAGTCTTCTCGGTCGGTGACGAGTGCCCAGGGCAGCCGGAGGTGTTCGTCGAGAAGCGCGGCATCGCTCGTGCTGGGCTGGACGTGCTCTTGGTAGAGAAGGTGGCGAGGAACCAGGTCGAGCAATGGAAGGCGGACCACGCCGCCTCCAGCGACGCGCGGGTGCTGCCAGTTCGGTACTCCCCTTCTGGCGAGCGGCTGCGCAGTTGGGCGAACGTGGCGGAGAGCGCGAATGAGAGTGCGATCGACCATTGGCCCGTCAAGGGGCCACGGACAGCGCAGTGGGTGGCCCGTTTCATGGCTCGTCGCAACACCGGGCCCGAGGACCACCACCGCTGGTGGAGATCGACCGCGCGCCTGAACGCCTCAGATTGGGGCGTAGCCGAGCATGGCCAGCTGTGCTCGTACCTGGAGGCGGCGGGGAGTGTGGATCAGCTCGACCTGTCGAACTTGGTGGTGATGGAGAAGATCGCACGCCGACTCCAGACCATAGAGTACCAGCACGCAGAGAAGGTTCGAGAGGGAGAGCGCGGCGGAACCGCCGGCGCTTCTTCCTCCGTCGCTGGATCAGCAGTTATCACGCACGACGAGATGGACTTGTTCGAGGGGCGGCAGCACGTCAATCCCACGGCGTGCTGTGCCCCGACGCTCATCGAGCACGTGAGTAAGGAGTTAGAGAAGGAGTCGCAGATCCAGAAGCAAGCCAGAAAAGCTCGAGAAGAGAGAGCCCTCCTTCGTCAGCCCCCAGGCGGAGGTGGTCGTGGCCGTGGGGGCGGCGGGCAATGAGCACACGCAAGGCCGTCGGAGACGGCCTCATCCGACGGCCAGCACTGCAGGCAGGCCATCCATCGCTCACAGGAGCGACGAATTCGAGTGCAAAGTCGAGTCGGCTATTTTCGTCGACGGAGCCTCGGACACTTTTAGAGCATCGGGTAAAAGCATCGAGGTCAGATCCCTCGATCTGCGCAACTAGGCGGCCGCCTGGGCTGAGCAGTCTTCCAGTCTCGTCCGAGCAGTGGTTGAATAGGCTTAGTCACGACGCCGCCTCCGTCCTTGCAGAAATGTACCTGGGTGGTGCTCCGTCCTGTCCTGCGGGTTCTGCTTCGTCTTTGGGCGGGGGCAGCATGGGGCACCTCCGGGAACGTTGCAGTAGGATGGGCATCCCCCCCGCCGATGTTCAGCCGGCCGAGGCTTTTTCGAGCATCAGCGGTGGGCGTGACTACTCTGGCGAGAGTTCGCCAGCAGTTCCCCCGGACGAGTCTCTGCTGTCGCTTAGGCCTGCAGGGACGGCCCCAACTGATACACGTCAGCTTCCGGGCCCCAAAGGTCGCGGGGAAGTCCAGGCGTGGATGTGCGAGCATGTGCTGCCAAACTCAGTAGGCATGCACAGTTTCGAAGCGAGCAAGATGAAGATTTATCATGACCCTGGCCTTCGCAGGTCAGCGCGCCGATATGCACGCGTGCTTCAGATGCTGCATGTCAGGAACATGGTTGAGTTTGTGTGCGAGGAAGGTGACGCTTGCGTAGGACTTTTTACTGCGCGCAAGAAGAGCGGTGCCCAGCGCCTGATTGCCGACTGCCGGCAGTCCAATTGCTTTTTTCACGAGTAGTGATCATGTCGAGCTGCCCACATCGGGCGCGCTATCCAGGTTAAGGCTCGAGGCCGGAGAGCAGCTGTATGTAGGTCAGTACGATTTAAAGGATGATTTCTTTCAGTTTGGAACACCCCCCGAGTTGCGGAGATTTTTCCATCTGCCCCCCATCAAGGTTAAGTGGATGAAGCAGCTGCTCCCCGACATTCCGAGCACTGGAGGGATGGTGCGACCTCGGCTTACTGCCATGCCGATGGGTTGGGTTCACGCGCTGTACTGGTGCCAGACAATACACGAGAGGATTTTGAGCCAGGCGTTTCCAAGCTCTCATCTTCTACAGGATCGGCAAGTTGGTGGTCTGAAAAATGGGTGCGTGTCGGTATATGTGGACAACGTGGGCGTCTTCTCGAGCTCCCCTGATGTTTGTCGTGATCTCACTCAGCGATCCCTGGAGGCTGTTCGAGGTGCCGGTCTAGAGGCTCACGAGGTCGATGTCGTCGGAGTCGGGGGAGATCTACTGGGGCTCAGCGTCTCGGGAGATGGTCGAATCTTACCACGACACGAAAGGAGATGGAGGGTGTGGATGGCTTTGGAGTTCCTCTTGAGGCGCCGTCGTTGTTCCGGTAGGACGCTTCGGAAGCTCTTGGGACACATCACCCATCAGGCAATGCTTCGTCGGGAGTTGCTGTCATGCTTTCGTGCCGTGTATGTATTCATAGAGAAGTACCCCGATAGCCCCTCGAAGCTGTGGCCCGCGGCGCTGAGAGAACTCCGTTGGGCTCAGGCGTTGCTTCCGTTGCTCGAGCGCGACCTTACCAAGCCGTGGGGACCGAGGGCCTATACGCGTGATGCGTCGCCGTGGGGTATTGGGATATGCGCGGCGCGGCCGCTCACTGAGGTGTTGGACGAGGCCAGCAGGCATTCAGATCGGTGGCACTTCTTGGGTGAAGGTCGCGCTAATCCACGGGCAGTACTGGAAGAAGGGGATGATGATGACGCTGGGGCACCTGAAGGTTCCTTTCGAAGAGTGCCTCCTGTTCCTGGGCTTCACTAGCTTGCTGCACGCTAAGTGGCACACGGTCAGTAGTAAGGCTTGGGAAAGTAGTGAGCACATCACTTGTCTCGAAGGTCGGGCCCTGGTGGGAGTCCTCAGGAGGGTCGCAAAGACTCGCGAGTACATCCAGAAGCGGGTCCTCATTCTCACGGACTCCATGGGTGCGTTGCTTTCGGCTCAAAAGGGAAGGTCGAGTGCGCCAGGTCAGTGCCGCGTCGCCCGCCAGTTGGCCTCCCTTCTCCTGCTGTGGGACATCCAGCTCTGTCTGCGATGGGTGCCCAGCGAGAGGAACGTGGCTGACGAGCCGTCCCGCCGCGGGTTGCGGCGTGCTGGTGCGGCGACCGCTGAAGGCAAGTTTCGCCGTGGCTGGGGCAGCGCGCGAGGAGAGAGTGCTCTCTCGGAGTGGCGACGCCGGGCGTTTCCTGACCCGCCAGGCGCCGGCCGAGGA